GTCGAACGGGCAATACGCGTCGATATATGGCCGAGTTCGTGGAAGACCCAATTTTTGCAACGTTGGGGGGCCTCAGTCAGGGCGATGGAACTTTCGCACAGGCAAAGGATTACCTTAGAGCTGAATTTCATTCCGATGATGTGCCAGATGGGTTTACCCTGGGGGCCTATGCGTGCCTGCAGCCACTGGTAGTTGGAGAAGATAGTGAAGAAAATCCGGCTGCTTTGGGCAGCTCGGACACTTGGTGTGCCCTGAGCTGCACAACGGACGTACTGGCCAAGAAGACAGGCCAGTGCGCTGTATACCTTGCGAGGCATTGTTCTGACTATGCTAGATCGTCGGGAGGCTGGGTCTACTTTGGAGACCTAGTACAGAAAATTAAAGACGACGGTTTTACTTTTCAATCGTACGCCCTGGCCTCACACAGCTTAGCTGCGCTGCCGCCAGGGGCGGTCGAAGTTTCGGGAATCTTTCCCAATGCTAGTCCCAATATTATTGGAACAAAAACCCACGCCATGTGGACGCGGCACACTGAGTGCTCATCGCAAGAAGAAGACAGAGGGGAGACGCCGATACCCATGTTCTATAGAGCATGTCAGGGACATTCAACGTTCGCTGCTTCCATTGAAAGGATGTACGTCCCATATGACCCTGGCCAAGTCAGGAGTCGCTGCTTTCTTCTTCACAAAAATTCTTGGAATCTACGAGTGGAAGGGTTCGCTTCCCAACGAGCGACTCTGGGCTTTGCCAGGGCGCAGATTATGAATTATTGCGATTGCTTCCGGTAAACAATAGCCCAACAATGCCTGATCCCTCAAACATTCCTCCGTGGCTCAGCCAGCGGAGGTACGGACAGCCTCTCGCTGCGAGAAGTCTAGTGTCCATGAATCATCCAGCTCGGGGAGGGGAGCCGCCATCGGTGGGGACTTGGCCCGCAGAAGACACCAACCACCTATGGCAACGCCTCCCCAATCACCGTGAGCTATGGGATCTTGTCTTTGTTTTTACCGGCAGAGTGCCCACTCGCTTCTCGCGCAGGGTTTGCCCAGACGGGACCCTAGTATTTCGAGAAGTGCCGAGGTTCACTGACATCGACAAAGCCGTCTCTCTTGTGCGACAGGCAGATCAGATGCGCTGGACGGTACTCTTCAATCGCGAGTTGTTTTCATATGAGGTTACCTTCGACAACGAGTCGAGTATTGCCAGGGTTCATACAGACGAGAGAATAATCGTGTCGTGGGACCACTGGTCACGATTGTCGACCGAAATCCAGGATCGAATTATATCCATTCCTTGGGAGGACGACGGGAGGTTCCTGTGCGGCCGGTACCACTTGGTGAGGATAGGTTTTGCAAACTGTCCTGTCTGCAATTGTCCGGTCAAATACAAATACAAGGTCGCGCACGATTACATGGCCCAGACGTGGAACAGCCGCGTTACCCCTCGGCCCCTCGAGGCGAACGGCCTCCTCATAGCGGTGGATAACGAAGAGGGTCTTTCGTGGGATCGCCACCAATATATACAGGCGCGTGCAAAGAGACAAGCGAGAGCTTCTGCCAATGTCATGAAAAAAACATCAGCAACAACAATCAGCAGGAGCGAAAATGGGCCGCTGGACAGTTTACTATAATGGCGGCCGCTGGCACGATATTCGGCAATAGTCAGCCTGGCAACTTTCCAGCTTGGATTCCGGAAAACGCCGTGGCTCAGCCACCGGCGCGCCATGCCCCCTTTCTTTCAATATTTGAAGCCTTTAGTCAGAAGGTCCATATCGTGGCTTGAATATTCAGCCAGAAACGTGGGCAGGCCGAAATTGTGGGAAACTAAGTTTGACCAGTATGCTCGCCCGAGGTCTTGCCCAGCCCTGGAGGCCTTTTATTGGCCGGACGAAGAGATGACTCAGTCACTCCTTTGAGAGGCTGGGAGAGGTGGTATAACAACATGACTAGAACACATGTTTTTGCTTCGACGCTTAATCCAATAGACGAAGTGGTAAATTTAGGGAGACCATGGTTACCCACGCAGAATGCAGGCGCCTTGGATGAAGAAAATGGGAACAACGCCGGAGACAACAACACTCCTGCGCGATTACCAGCTGCCTGGGAGAACAATTTTAGAGCGAGGCCGACTCGCAGTTCTCAGTCCGTCTCGAGACGGATTAGTGAGTGTCGGGACCGCCGTCTCATTATGTTGGCGCTGCGACATGCCACCAGCGAAGCCGCGATGGCACGCGAACAGTCACAGATGGATCTGGATCTTTCAGCAATCAGCGGGCCTAAGGCCACGCTGATACTGACGGAACCATCACAGTTGATCATTCTGAGGGACACGTATACTTTCACCGCGATGACCCTTCGATCCAGATAAGGTTGTTCGGGACAGAGGTTCGGACAGTTGCAGCCCATTATGTCGTTGAACACACAGGCGCAAGCCCTACTAATCCTGGCAGGGTTGCCCTGACAGGAACTACAGAACACGTGATCCCGGAGATCATCAAGACCATAGTAGATGACAATTGGTTGGCCTCTGTACAACAAATGCAACTGGGCCTTCGGCCCATAAGGATTGTTTGCAATTGTCCGCGAAATTATCAGCTTCTTCATATCGGAAGATTACTGTATTGATTACCCGGGGCGAATCATTCGCCCCGATATGGCACGCGCGGAAAATATTGCTTCGAAGCGACGGGCCGACGAGCATGCCCTGGACTGCCGCATCCGTGCCGCTGTTCAAACTGACGACATAATAGAAATGTGGGCCCATAAGAGGGGCAGGAAAGTGCAAAATGATGTCCGTCGCCACGGTGCTCTTATACAGGAAGCCATTTCTTGGCTTCAGGATAAATATCCTGACCCTGGTACTGAACTCCAGGACAAAGATTATGGACCCTTCCGTACTGCATGCGGAAAGTATGGTGTCGCTGCGACGACAGCTGCCAGGAGCTTAATACAGTTCATGAGAGATCGTAAGAATAACGATCCCGACCTCGACGGCGAAGCCGAGCTCGTGGGACCACGAAGGGCGACGGATGGAGCGAAGGCTAGACCTTTATCGCGCCCTCCGCCTCTTAGACCTGGCGTCTCAGACGTTCGGGTATCCGAAGAAGCCGCCGAGTCCCCGCGTTCTGTCGCCAGCTCAGCCGTGACGACTAGGGAGGCATGCCCTCAGCATCCCAGCACAAGGGATCGGTCGGATTCCCGGCGCGCGCGCGATGGGGCCATGTATGCTGCCAGCGGCGCGGCCATGGATGCTGCCAGCGGCGCGGCCATGGATGCTGCCAGCAGCGCTGCGGACTACAGCTACGAGTACGACCCGCCCATGTCCTACCCGCGCTACGTGAGCAAAATCCACGCCGGATACCACGTCCATCGGAACAAGATCACGTGGTTTCCCGACGACGAGTGGTATACTCTGGACTACTGGCACGCGCTATCCAAATATGAGCACGATTTACGCTTCCCGTCAAAAGGGACAGCATCAAAGAGCGACACACAAAGGAAGAGGGCGGTCCCGCACGCCTCGTGGCGTGGACGCACAGACGGGAGGATCGGCGTCGTCGAACCCGCCGCCCCCGGCGCCGCCCAGAGCAGAGGGCGAGCCCAACCCGTTTGAGGACTTGAGCTGAGTTTCGCCCGCGTGACTCAGTCGCGGCAGGCGCATGCAAGACAACTTCATCCACGCGCGGAACGCGCGTTGGACGCGAATACCTCTGCTGGTCGGCTAAGCCGGTCCAGCGGAGAGAATGTATTTATCATAGTGGTGGGAAACGTCGAGCCTCTTCGGCCCTTGGCCCCCTGGCAGCCACCGTTGAGCTGTAAAAGCTTTTTTCGGGTTGGCTCCGGCGGTTGTGCGCATGTACAGGCCGGGGGCGCCGTGGCTGGATGGGCCCTGCGCGGCCCGCCGCGGGGGGAGTAAATATGCTCCTCTCCGCCTCATATTCAATTAGAACTTAACTTAGTTTGCATGCGTTGCACTGTCCGCTGGAATTAACAGCTGCATCCCGCAGCTGTATGGATGCTCAAACAAGCCAGCCTTGGCTTGCAGGAGAGAAAAGGAGCGCGCCAGCCCACGGCCGTCGCGCGTCGTCGGTCGTAGGCCAGCCGGCCTCCTCCCTTCACATTCCTGATCGAGTAATCTTGCTTAACGGATACTTGTCTCATCGATGTCTCATCCCGTCCCCCTTCTCCCTGAGCAGAGTGAACATGAGATCTTAATTCCTTTGTCATCTCGCCCCGATTCTCAGAGGAAATACTAAAGTAGGAGGAGAAGGAAGAGGAGGCGGAGGAGGAGGAAGAGGAGGATGAGGAGGAGGAAAAGGAGGAGGAGGGGAGGAAGGGGGCGGAGGAGGAGGAAGGGGGAAAAGGAGGGGACGATGGGGGGAGGAGGAAGAGTAGGAGGAGAGGAGCAAGAACAGGGGGAAAGAGGAGGACGAGGAAGAGGTGTTCTTTTCGGCCGCCTCGGGGCGCCTGGGGGCGAGGAGCGCCCAAAAGCTTTTCGAACCACGCCGACCACGAAATTCGACGAATAACCGAAGTGCATTCAGCCTTCAACCTCCTCGTCCGTTGTTTGGCCGTTGCCCCGGACGAAGCTAAGCTAGAACCTAAGCGCGCGCGTAGCGCGCGCGTGGTTCTAGTATATATATATATATACACACACGTAGTTATATAAATGGATTGGCATATATCTAAAATTTGGTATCCGTGTATGAATACTTTGAATTATAGATATGCTTACACATATACATATACATGTATGTATGCACATACATATATATATATATCGCAATATGTATACATATATATATATATATATATATAAAATATTGATATGTGTGTGTGTGTTCATGTGTGTGTCCACTTGCACATATATGGATGCATCGAACCACATTAATTTATGCGGAAACACACATCTATATGTGTATATATACACATATATGTGTATATATAGACGCACTTGTACATTCCAAGTGGCTCACGAATGCCTGCTGAAACCATTGGAAGAGCGTCCAACAGTGCCAGCAGTGTTCGAGAGCCACACTGGCAAGACATCGGGCATTTGCATCGTTCTTAAGCAGGCGCAGCAGGCGCGGCGCGTGGTGGAACGATTGCAGCAAGCGGCGTCTGGCAGCAGACTTTGGCACGCCTACCGATCAGACTTTAGCAGCAGCAGCAGCAAGCTGCCGCGCACACGTGCACGTGAAGGTTTTGCGCATGACCCTTCTGGCAGTCCTGACTTCAAGCCATTCCAACATCTCGGGCTGAGGCCAGACGGAGGCCTGAAGTTTCTGGCAATGGCGCAGCACGGGGGTGGTTGGCCGGCCTGGCCCAAGTTCATCAAAGTGGCGTTTGGCTACGTGGTATTATTGGTCAACGTCAGCATCTTGTTGCGTTGCGCCAGCGTTGCACGACAGGACATTTCCGCACACGGAATCTGGAGCCAGCCTGGAGAGTTGTCGCAGAAGGTTCCCCATGAGAGGTGGCCGCGGCCCCGGCGTCGGTGGCCACATAACGACGGTGAGGCGAACGAAGGGGTTCAGCGAAAGGTGGATTTTCGCCAGGTGCAGGTGTTGCACGGGAGTGCAATCCGGGAGCACGGAGTGGGAGGGGCAAGTGCCACTTACGTCTCAGCAGGAACACCCGGTAAATTGATGGTTATCATGTTGTGTGGGGGGGAATTGTGATGGGGCGATTGTCCAGACAGGGTTGTCCAGTGGGGGGCCCGAGGTCGTCAAGGGATTGCCCAGGATCCAGGGATTGTCAAGCATGTTTTATGATGCAAGTGTCAATCGATATCGACAACGCCTGCAGGGCATCACCAGCCGTTCCCTGGGAGTTTGACGCATTTGGTCCGTAGTCTCGTGGAAGCAGTTTTGAAGCCTCTTTGGGGGCTCTTGGGTGCTGTTTGGGGGCCTTGGGGGCTTCCGTTGGGCCTCTTGGGGGCTTCTTGGAGGCCTGCTGGCGGTCTGGGAGGTCCCGTTTGGGCAGGAAGCTGGACATTTAATTTCGAGTTCTGGCTCTAGGGCCCTCTTGGGGCCGGCATGAGCCGTCGTCGGCGCGTCTTGGGCCGTCTTGGGGCCGTCTGGGCACATCTTGACACCCTCTTCGGGGTCTCTGGGTCGATCTTGGGGTGATCTTGGGGGCCCCATATCGGATCTCTTGAGAGCATCGTGGGGCCTATTGGGGGTTTCTGTGGGGCGTGCTGGAGGTCTCGGAGGTCCCTTTGGGCCACAAGCTTGAAATATATGTTGGAGGTCTGGCTTCTGGGCCCCTGTAGGGCTTGGGGCCGTCTTGGGCGCCTCTTGGGCCGTCTTTGGGTGCTTTTGGGCCATATCAGAGTCCTCTTCGGAGCCTCTGGGTCGATACTCGGGCGATACTGGGCGCCGCTAGGGCCGTCGTGGACGCTCAGAGTCCCAAAAGTCGCACATGATATAAGTATACGTTTCCCCATAGGAATGGGACGATGTTTACCTTTCGGGGCCTTCTTGGAAGGCCTCTTGAAGCCCTCTTGGGGCGTCTTGGGGGCCACGTGTACCGTCTCAAGGCCATCTTGGGCGTCTTGGGGCGGTCTGTCGGCGACGTGGAGCCTTCTTGGACCCTTTGGGGGCCGTCTTGGGGCTCTCTGGGGTCGTTTTGGGGCCCTTGGGATTTCTGAAAACCTTCGTGTCGGGGGGGTCTGCGAGGGACTGCCGACAGAGTGGAGGCCCAGAGGATGGACTTCAGGGAGATGTTTTGCAGGCCCAGGCGAATCCTACCCTGCACTTTGTCAGAGTGGTCTCGCACGGCCCAACCCGCAGGGCGGGAGCGGCCAGATCTGAAGGGTTGCGCCCTCTGCCGCCAGCCTCCGAGGCTGAACCATATTGGAACAGTTTCAGGGCCTCATTCCGCGATCTCGAGGGCTACAGGGGGCATCTTGGGGGCGCTGGAGCCCACCTGCAATAAGTCTCGTCACAACTATATCTAGACAAAATCGAAGTCGCGCCGCGGGAAGCTTCGCTGGAAGCTCGCCCCCGCCCTCCAAAGTTGAAGCCAACGCATCGAGGTGCGCGGGCGAGGTGTCATTCAGCCAAGAGCCCAGCGCGCCCGTCAACTTCGAACGGCCCGCTCAACGATTGCGCATCGTCAACAGCCAACTGGCGGCGTCGCGATGATTGCGACGAGACTTGTGCAGGGGGCATCTTGGGGCTATCTTGGGCCTTGCTGGCCCATCCTGGGCGAGTTGAGGAACACATTGGGGAATTTTAGGGGCATTTTGAATCGATATTGGAACACCTCGGGAGCAAACCATGAAGCATGAACAACACATTGAACACATTCAGTGTGCGTTTGTGCTGTTGTCCCCTCGGCGGCGTCTTGGTTCCTCCTGAGCCATCTCAGATGCATCTTGATGCCTTCTGTGGGAAAGTGCGCCAGTGGATCTCCCTGAACACACTAAAAGGGGGGGGTCCAGCAGACCCCCCCCCCCTCCCCCCCTTCAAGGGGGGGAGGGGGTCCGGAACCCCCGTCCCCCCCTCCCCCCCTTAAAGGGGGGGAGGGGGTCCAGACCCCCCCCCCCTCCCCCCCCTTGGCGCTGGAGGGGGGGGGTCGGACCCCCCCCCCCCCTCGTATAGGGAGTACGGAGTTGGGAGTAGGGAGTGGTAAGTAGTGAGTAGTGAGTTAGTGCGTAGTGAGTAGTGAGTATTGGGTTGTGAGTAGTGGGTAGTGAGTGGCGAGTGGGAGTAGGGAGTGGGGAGTGGGGAGTAGTGAGTAGTGAATAGTGAGTAGTGTGTATTGATAAGTGAGTAGTGAGTGGCGAGTAGTGAGTAGTGAGTAGTGAGTAGCGAGTAGCGAGTAGCGAGTACTGAGTAGGGAGTAGGGAGTAATGAGTAGTGGGTAGTGAGTAGTGGGTAGTGAGTAGTGGGTGGCGAGTAGTGATTAGTGAGTAGTGAGTGAGTAGTGGGTAGTGCGTAGTGCGTAGTAAGTAGTGAGTAGTGAGCAGTGAGTAGTGAGCAGTGAGTAGTGAGTAGTGAGTAGTGAGTAGTGAGTAGTGAGTAGTGAGTAGCGAGTAGTGAATAGTCAGTAGTGAGTAGTGAGTAGTGAGTATTGAGTAGTTCGTAGTGCGTAGTGAGTAGTGAGTAGTGAGTAGTGATGAGAGTAGTGGGTAGTGGCACTGGGTAGTGAATAGTGAGTAGCGAGTAGGGAGTAGCGAGTAGTGAATAGGTAGGAGCGAATAGGGCGTAGTGAGTAGTGAGTAGCGAGTAGGGAGTAGTCGGTAGTGAGTAATGGGTAGTGATTAGTGAGTAACGAGTAGGGAGTAGCGAGTGGTGAGTAATGAGTAGGGAGTAGTGAGTCGGGAGTAGGGAGTAGGGAGTAGTGAGCAGTGAGTAGTAAGAAGTGGGTAGCGCATAGTGGGTAGTGAGTAGCGATTGGTGAGTAGTGGGTAGTGGGTAGTGAGTAGTAACTAGTGACTAGTGATTTGTGATTAGTGAGTTGTGACTAGTGACTAGAGACTATGTGGTCACTAGTTAGTAGGGAGTAGTAAGTACTGAGTAGTGAATAGTGAGTAGCGGGGAGTGAGTAGTGAGTATTGAGTAGCGAGTATGGGGCTAGCGAGTAGTGAGTACTGAGTACTGTGTAGTCAGTATTCTGTAGGGAGTAGGGAGTAGCGAGTAGCGGGTGGTGGGTAGTGAGTAGTGATTTGTGGGTAATGAGTAGTTAGTAGGGAGTAGTGAATAGTGGATAGGGGGTAGTGGGTAATGAGTAGTGATTAGTGAGTAGCGAGTAAGGAGTAGGCAGTAGTGAGTAGTGCTTAGTGAGTAGTGAGTATTGAGTAGTGGGTAGTGAGGAGTGAGTAGTGAATAGTGAGTAGGGAGGAGGGCGTAGTGAGTAGGGAGTAGTGAGTAGCGAGTAGTCGGTGGTGGGTAGTGAGTAGTGGATGGTGAGTAGTGAGTCGTGAGTAGCGAGTAGAGGGTAGTGAGAACTGAGTAGCGAATAGCGAGTAGTCAGTAGTGGGTAGTGAGTAATGAGTAGTGAGTACTCTTTGGGGCTGGGGTTACTGGCTGGGGTTAGGGTTATGGGTTTGGGTTAGGGTGAGGACTAGGGGTAGGGGTGGCGGGGGTCGGGTTCCGGAGTCAGGCGGCGGCGTGGCGAAAGGGGAGAGGGGGGGGGTCGGACCCCCCCCCCTTTTGAAAGGGGGAGGGGGGGGGTCCCGACGACGGATCGGGGAAAGGAGGGGGGGGGGTCCCCGACGACGGATCGGGGAAGGGGGGGAGGGGGGGGGGGCCCGACGACGGATCGGGGAAAGGGGGGGGGGTCCTAACCCTCTCCTCCCTTGGGGAGATCCAGCGGCGCACCCTCCTTCTGTGGCCGTCTTGGGCTCGTCAGGCACACCAGCTGGGGGCTCTTCAGGCCGTCCTGGAGGACTTTTTGGCCCTCCTGGCCGTCTGCTGGAGTCCCTGTAGGAAGTCTGGGCCACTTAGGGCGGCCATGGGGCTTTTCCTGGGCGCCGTGGGCCTCCGTGGTAGACAGTATAATGGAGACTGCACTAGAGATACAAGGGGCAAAGACAAAAGATAACACACAGAGAGCACGCCAGCAGTCCAGCACAGCCTTACGCCCCGAAGGGGGCTAGCAGACAGTAGTCAAAATCAATGGGTGTTGAATTCGCGGATCTTTCCCCCAAACAGTGCGTGCCGGCTTTCGCCTGGTGCCCCTCCGAGGGCGCCTCGTGGGCGCGTCGTCCGCTGAATCGTTTTTTTCCAGGTTGGCGCCCCGTGGGTGCCCCGTGGGCGCCACGTGAGCTGGCTGGGGCGTTCGGGTTTCCGGCCCGTGCCCGCTCGTGGGCGCCCCGTGCTGGCCGCTCGTGGGCGCCCCGTGCACCGGCTGGCCGACGCACACATCGGTTGCGCAGCACGAGCGGCACCCGGAGTCACATACAGTGCACCTTGCAGCTCGAGCCGCACATATCGTATCCCATACACCGCAGCACATCGATCGCACCATTGATTACTCTCCCAGGGCTCCAGAAATTAAGCGTTCTGAGTCCACTTTGCCACGTTGGCAAACGTTGCCTGTTTGCTGGAAGTGCGGCAAACGAGTCACTGGAAACCAGGTGCTGTGTTTTCGGACCTTCAGACTTCAGCACCGCCTTCGCGTGTCAACTACCTTCTAAATCCACCGAGAGGCGGGCGATGATGTGCTGTTTCTGTCGCCTCCCCACCCCACCCCCAGAGCACCGCCCTGCCGAGGTTGGTTTCTTGCCGCCGGTGTGGCGGCAGGCTGTCGTGTCCGTTTACGAGATCGGTGGGTTAGCCTATTATTTCATGCGGCTACTGGTTGCCGCCTGGCGTGCATGCAGGACGCACGGCGGGCAGTGGGAGGACCTTTACAATTCTTGGGAGGCGACCGTGTATATCTACTGGGATCTAATCCCATCCGTTCGCACATTCAGTGCCCTGCGCGCGCTGAAGCACGTGCACCCGCAGCTTTTCCCCGCGGAGCTTCGGTCGGCCCACTTGAAGTACAGCATGCGACTGCGGTCCTGCAGGCAGAGGTTCGCGATGATATCGCTGTTCGTCATCAAGCGGATCGTTATTCTCTGGTTCGGCCTTCAGGCTTTCATGCACAAATTCACCCAGACAGCAGCCCAGCTTGAGATGAACGAAGGTCGCCCGCTCACGCAGATGTTCTTGGGCATTGTATTTCTGAATCAGCTTGTGGGTGGGGTGGTTCAAATGGATATTCAGTTCCGTAACAGGCTCATGCTCTTCCTTTTCGGTGGTGAGGACGCCAAGGTCGAGCCAGAGGAAGATGCTTTGCTCAATGTGTGGGTCGCCCACGTAGCCAACGCTCTCTGGCAAAGAGCTTTCTGCCTGAACGATGATGCCGCCCTAGATCCGGTCGCCATATCCACCTTCAAAGGGGCGACCCCCAAGGAACGAAGAATGACTGCCTTGGAGAGGCTACTTTGCTGGATACGGTGGGTGGTTGCTATCTCCGATTTTAACCACATAGATCTGCAAAAGGCTGTCCTCTGTGAAGGCGAAGAGCATCGGCAGAGGCGCAATGAAATCTTGGGTAGTCGAAGCATCGACCATAACGCCATCAGTTTTCTGGACTAGGTTCACGAAGTGCGCGCGGTTAGATGACTGGTCTTCTCCGTAGCGTGCGTGCGGTCGGCGATCCCGTCGAGCATCTCAGTCGTGCATTGGCCGCGTCTTGCTCTTTACGCTTCACAAGAAGGTAGTATGCAGGCCACCTCGGAGTCCACCTTCGAAGGGAAATAATAGTCGTCATCACTACAATGTTCGAGCGATCGTCACCACCATCACGACAGGCATCGATACCCTCACTCTAGTCACCGTCACTATCATATTACCTTAGCGTGAATTATGTTGCGAGTGGTGGAGGCCGCGGAGCTGTTTGCCTTTTCAAGCGCTGAAAGGGTCTCACGATACACCTTGAGCCGCCATCACCAAGATCTCCTGGGCGGCCTCCTCAACTTGGTTTGTGTGGTCGGCCACGGTCCACTGCCCCGACGGCATCTGCTCACCAGCGCACGGCATCGTGCGCCGGCGGCATCCCAGGCAAGAGATTTGCGCAACGCCGTGCCACGCGGAAGACGATACAAGTCATGCAAAAAGGTATGGTCCCAAGCACCGTTAGATATTGACAGGGAGTGATGAGGAAGATGAGGACGAAGAGGAGGAGGAGGAGGAGGAGGAGGAGGAGTTCAGCTGCCCCATGCGGTTTTACCTTCATGCCTGGTTTTGTGCGTGCGAGAAAATTCGTTTCATGCACTCGCGCGTTCATTGATCGCATTTACCTAACAGGGCGTCGAGAGCCAGATCCTGAGCGAAGCATCTTTGCAGCGGAGAGCGCTTACATTTTCTGACTTGCTTGATACCATACATTTTGTTGGACGTCCTCCATCTTGCATGGCGTGCGATGTCCCGGTGCGCCGGTGCAGCCGCAGATTCTTGCGTTTCTTCCAGCCGCAGATTCAGCGTTTTATTTCTCTCGGTTGGTCTCGATGAGTTTTCGAGCGATGATATGTGATCTGAGTTGCCTCGATACGCCCGTTTTGATACGCAATACGTCCCGTGATCAAGACGTCCGTGTCAATAAGTTGCGTGTTGTTCCACGTTTTGGACCACATTTTGGCGAGTGTATCGCGTCGGACCTACGTTTTCAGCCTACGTGTTGAGCTCCGTATCAATACGCTATGTGTTGCGTTAGTGTGTACGAGCATTGAGCTTACGCAGCGGCCACAGCCGTTCCACGATGCTGAATTTCGGGCGTAGCCCGAAGTTAGTTTTCGAATTCGTTTCTGGAGGTGCGACCAACTGAATAATTGATTGGCCACGCACGCTAGCAAGCTGGTTGAAGCTTGGGTGGCAGAGGGCGTAACCTACTTCCGCAGGCAGGATGATTATCATCGTCAGTCCTTGATGCATGTACGCCCGATATGGTAGTGGGAGCCTCTACACCGCAAAATGATAGCGCTGGTCTGCAGATTCGGAGCTCAGTGGACCCCATGTCTTTCGGAGCCCACATACGAGTCATCACTGTCTCTGTGTATATGTGTAGATCATACATCCTAGCACGGTATGCCACAGCACATCATTAGACTTAACAGTGTATCGCATGAATTTGTCACATCATGGGGATGTCATTCGCATCATCGTGACAGTCACACAGCGTGGTATTAAAACAGCACGGTGCTGGCATAACATAGCACTGACATGCCATGGCACTCGCCCAGACTAGCACTAACACTAGCATGCCATAGCACCGCCTGGGATATCATAGCATCGCATACCATGGAATGGACGCCCAAGTCGCGAGGAACCAGCCTAACAGGTGTCGTCTGGCGGAGAAGCAGCAGAGTGATCCAGGACATATCCGTTCAATTAGACACATTGTTGAAGCGTTCCGAGACTTCTGATGGCCCGTCCGCGGTCCATCTAAATCAGTAAATATGCTCCTCCCCGCCTCATATTCAACTAGAACAACTTAATTTGCATGCATTGCACTGTCCGCGTGAACTGAAGCTGCGTTTCCGCAGCCATACGACTGCTCGAGCCAGCCGGCCTCGGCTGGTAGGAGAGAAAAGGAGCGCGCTGGGGTGCGCGGGCGGCTCGTCGTCGTCCGTCCTCGGCCGACCTCCTCCCTTCACATTCCTGATAGAGTCGTCTTGCTTAACGGATACTTGTCTTATCAATTTCTCATCCCGCCTCCGCCCTCCCTGAGCAGAGTGAACATGAGATCTTAATTCCTTTGTCATCTGACCCCGATTCTCAGAGGAAAGACTGGTTATCAGCCGAAACGCGCGACTCAGTCGACGCGGGGCCATTAGATACAAAAGAAGATTTTTTCAGTCGTGCCCCGCGACTCAGTCGCTGCGGGAGAGAGCTATGATAAGACTAATATCGTGTCCAATATCTCGAGAAGCGCTGATGGGCGCGTTGAACAACATGATGGACACGATGCAGACACAGACGGTCCTGTTCAAGACTGAATCCCTCCTTCATATGTCGCCGATCGGGTCGTGAGGGGGAGAAGTACCGAGGGGATAACCGAAATGTCGGTAGACGTATCCCCCGCAGGGGCCCCGATAGGTGATCGTGAGCGAACCCCCGACCCTCGCGGGCGAGATGGCGTCACGCCAAGACCCAGGCGAGGTGCATTCTCGTCGTGGAGTGCCAAATCGACGGAGTCAATAAGCTCCATCCAGAATGCTCCACAAGCTACTGTCATTGCCGCTGGCGAAGCCAGCCGGCCAGGGGGGATCCAAGGAAATCTGAATACGTATCTTGATATCCCGACAGGATGGGTGGGCATGCATGTTAACGCCCCAACTCCTATAGCATTTAACGGACAACTCGGTCAGGATAGTGATGATCCAATAGACAAAAACCATGAAATCTATTCCATGGAGGAAGATTTTGATAGTATCAATAATGATATTTCCTTGAGCCGAGCGTTGTCCGTGATGATAGAAGAAGACATCCCTGCTCAAGACGAAAGATGGTCTCCAGATGGATCCGATGAAGACACTAGTATCCTGACGCCTCAGGCGGACAGGACGGAGGCTCAGATGAAGCATGAGTGGGAGTCCACTGGACGAACCCCTGCGCCTAACCTCAAGAAGCAACGGAATGCGGACTACGAACTAAACGCTTCGCCATTAAAGGAAGGTTTCTTCCGTAATGCCACCGCCTCAGGTGAGTGGCAACCCACTATTCCAGCGGTTGTTGAGGATGAAGAAATGGTCGGACAACCAGCTACGTATGCTGAGCGAATAGCACAAGACGAAAAGGATGAGGAGCTCCTAAATGCGCCTAAACCACCAGAAAGTATTTTTACTCGCCCCAGATCGAATGCTTCGAGCTGGGGAAGACCCAACATACAAAGAGCAGGGGCGAGGCCTACTTCAAGGAGCAACAGTGCAGTTTCTATGATGGGGGCACGTTGGATTCCCAATCCTGGCTGCGCGCCTCAGGCGGAGAGCAGATGCCCAGGGAAAGCCAACAGGCCTGAAGGCGCATGTAGGAACCCATCGTGCAGGAGTTGCTCGGGCGTTTGCAACAAGTGTAACATGCAATGGCTGCGCACAGAGTGTTACCCAATGGACGAGCATAAGTGCACGTACCTCCTCATGCAGTCTATTCAAGACCAGGCCAGGCTAGCAGAGGCTAACACTCAGAGAGTTTCTGACCAATGAAGCGCATCTGGCTGAAAGGGCTCGATTGGACAGAGAAGAATTAACTGAGACTGTGATCGAAGCTCGAGAAACGTTTGAGGCTGAGCGGGTCGCCCTAGCCATGGCTGCTAGAGAGCGCGAACAGGCGCTGATAGAACATCTGCCCAGTCAGACTGAGGCCGTGAAATGGCAAGTGGAGAGGGAAGCTGAAAATATATACAGAGAATTGTTGACTTCGGAGAGACGGGCCGTCATGATGGCAAACGAAGAATCTGCTGACGCCAATGCGGTTGCCGCTGCCGTCGCGGTGGCCAGGATAGAAGGAGAACAAATCGCGACAGTCGTGGCGGAACGAGAAAAACATGGCTTACAAGAAGAGCTCAAAGCTGCCAGGCTGGAAGCAGACAACACCCAAGCTGTAGCTGCGAAGATAACCAACCAGAACAATCTCTATCTGGAAGAGCTTACATCGCATGAGAAAGCTAGGTCTTCCCTCCAGCGCATAATGTCGAGCAATGCCAAATGCCCGCCGGCTAAGCCGACTGAGTCGGACATACACCAATTGCCGACGGCTCAGCCGTCGGGAATAGTATCCATCCCTACGCAATTTGATCAGACGACCTTGGCAAATGCGGGAACATCGACCATGCTGGTAGGAGGTGCAATGCATCCTCCTCCCGAGGAGAAGGGAAACACACTCCCCGTGGATCAGTTTTGTGCCCTTTGTTTTCGTCCAAAAACGGACAGTCGCGTCGGGTGTGGTAGGTCGGCGTGCAAAGAACATATCGATGCGAGCATTAGAAGATGCTATAGATGCGACCTGTGGAAGAGTGAAAGGTCAGCGGCCAAAATGCGAGGATAAGAGATTGTTTCGAACGCAGTTTTTGCAGAGAAAGGAAAGATGAGGCTTATGGCTATCATCGCCGACCCGACTCCATATACTGAAAATAAACGAGATGCCGGACTCACATCGAAGTCATATGGTTTTCCGTTGCTCTCGCAAGAAACTCCCGTGAGGCCGCTGTTGCGTCAACATTTTATTGTCCCAGGCTCTGCCCTAGAAGGTCCGGCTAAGCCGAGCACCGCTGAGAATGGACTTCCTGTAGGGATGAGGCTAGCTGGACCTAACGAAGGTAACGCCCTTGCCAATCTCCGTCCGCCTTACGGAGACGGCCCCACGGGAATGACGGCGACTAAGTCGTCGGGCGATGCAGGACAGGGCGGAGACGGAGACGACAAGAGCGACGCTCCCAACACTGAGATCGTATCTTTGCACGAAGACGATCGTGGTAGAAAACCGCGTGGGCCGCCTCCGGGTAGCCCAGGGGGGCCAGACCCCTCTGAAGGTGGGGGTGGGCGCAGGGGGCCGCAGGGCCCCGGCGGACCGCGCGACTCAGTAGTAATTGACGAGAGTACGCCGTTAGATCAGTGGAGACAGGTTGGCAACAATCAGAAGATTGATTTGATGGACGTCCCTGATGCAACGAACGTTCGTGAATGGAAAATGCACGCAATACGTGCAATCGCTGGATCATCGCCCGAGAGCCAGGCAGCACAGCACTGGATTGCCGAGGCTATGGATCCAGATGTGGAGGATGAGCAGCTCAAAGATGCTGGACGATTCCAGCGTCTCGACCTCATGATCGCAACGAATCTGATCGAACAAGTCAACCAGATGCGAAAGAGTCGATATCAGCTTGATCATCATACTCATTTCCTCCAACAGATTACTCGCATGGAATTCAGCGCCCAGACCGAGGGCAGACTCATGACTGGACGCGAGATGGTGCGATCAATTTGCCATTGGTGTTCGGTATGGTCGGAGTTGGGGTAACATCGTATTTCACGTGACCTCTTCAAGGTGATCGATCATTGACCCGCGCGAGCCCGATGCTGACCTGTATCATTTCTACAATGAATGGACAGATGTGCACCAACAGCTTTACGGCGCTAAACCTCCGTCCGATGAAAGGAGGGCCTCGATGCATGCACACATTCTTGAACAATGCAGAAAGCCGAGCAAACTGAACTTTGTATGTCAGTTATATGACTTGTCAAAAGACAGAATGGGACAAGGTGCGAAGACTTACGTGTGGCTGATGGAGCAGATCGAAGAAATGATGTTGCGAGAAAAAGAAGAGTGGAACATCAGCGTGCATGAGGGAACCTTAAACTAACGTGCTAGGCAAGCACGATTCGGCGGAGGCGGAGGCAATGACAATCGGAGGAATGCAGGTAGTAAAGCCGCCCCGGCAGAGATTGCTGCTAAGTTGGGGAAATCCTCAGATGCCATGAAAAGCGGGAAGACTAAGGGCGAAACCACGTGCAGATACGTGCACAAGGGCGAAATTTGCCCGCACGCAGGAAAGGGCTGCCCCTTCAATCATAAGAAGCCCAGGAACGCCGCGCCGGCTCAGCCGAGTGCGGGGCGAAAATCCAGTGCAGCTCCTACCCAGGGTAAGAACCTTAGAGGGAGATCGAAGGACAGGGGCCGAAAGGGACAGGGCCGATCCCAGACCCCGACTGGTAACTGTGGGAAAGGAGGACAGCAGAAGCATAGAAGTCAGTCACGTGGGAAAGACAGTACTATTCCGTGTTACGCATACTCCCGAGACCCCAAGAATTGTCGAGGACCAGAAGACGGATGCCACAAAGCCCATAGAGAAGGCTAACCGATGCTGAGAAGCTGAAGCTTGACAAGTGGGAACAAGCGAAACTTGGCGCTGGACAATCTTTGGGATATGAGCGCACATCCAAACAGGCCAAAGCTGCCGCTGCCAATGTATCTT